CGTAAGAGGTGGACCGCCCAATACAAGAACCCAATAACAAATCCAGACCAGGAGAACTCAAATGAAGTGCAGGATGCAGATAAAATAAAATAAAATAAAAATCCCCGGCTCTTGTGGGGATTTTCTTTTCAAAAACCGAACCATAATGCTGTAACTAAAGTGGCCTAAATTCACGTTTATTTTTACGTTTCTGTCAGTCTGAGGTGTTGCTATAACGCGTTGCTATGGATTGCGTCACTTGCGTCAAGTTGTGTGTGTCTTGCTTCGGTCTTGTGAGACGGATTTTTTTATGATTAATTTTATATGTTTATCTAAAATGAATTTACAATTTTATTAATATGTTCATATGTTTAAAAAGAAGAATGTAAATTCAAATATATTTATATATGAAATGTCAACTGTTTTTTTTTCTGGGTTTTTTTTTTCCACATTTTTTTTAGCCTACGTAATTTTTTGGCGGCACCCCTGACACAGCTAGGGGGCACCCCAGTGTGCCGCGGCACCCACTTTGAGAAAGGCTGGTCTATGCTTTGGCAAAAGTGTCGTATATGACGCCTTTGGATGAGAATGCGTTGGTATAAATTCCTAGGTAACGACTGTTGCCCTGGTTCCCTGAGATGGGGAAAGAGACTTGGTATTGACGCTACACTCTTAGAATAAATGGTTCTATTTAGAACCAGAAATGGTTCCATCCCCCGCTTCATATATGAAACTCCAAAATGGTTCTATAGAACCATTTTTTTTGGTAAAAGATTCTATTGGCCAAGTATGGAACCCCAGGGTTCTATATAGAACCCAGAGGAACCCTTTTTGAGTGTAAAGAACCTTTTAGGGGTTCCAAATACGTAGCGCTGAAAGAACCTTTTAAGGTTCTATATAGAACCTTTTCTTCTAAGAGTGTATGTTGAACGGCATCAGTGTGTTTTGCCTAGGACTCACAGCAAAGGCATAGGTATAGCAACGAGACTCGGGGTTACAGTCATAACCTTTGAATATCAAAACGATCCATTTATGGAGCTTGATTAAATAAATGCTTTGTAAATGAGTAGTACGTTTAAAGCCTTGAAACTTGCAGGATGTTTTAATGCTACAAAGACCACTTATATGGCAAAAGATCATGACAAATTAATTTTTTTGACCCCTCAACGTTATGACCCATTTAAAGGGACACTTTACCCATTTCCATTAAGCGTTGTATCTTTAGAAACCCAGTCATATTTTTGAATGGTCATGGTTTATTCTCTTATTTTCCCCTGAAATGGGAGAAATAAGGATTTAAGTGTTTTACTTCCTGCTTATTATGACGTAAAAATCGTCCTTTTGTGTCATAGTAGGAAGTCACATTTCATTAAAAAGCGTAGAGACTACAAACATTTGCTCATTATTATTCAAGGGTGTGGGACCCACTCACCCTACAGGCCAATTACAGATCAGTGGGTGGGACTTCACTTGCAGAAACTGAATCAATATCTGCCATCTTGTTTGGAAGCTAAGCTAACAAGCGCTGTGGAGATAGGAAGTATGATAATGACGGAAGAAACTAAACATGACATGGAAGAAGGGGATTTTGAAATTCTACTGCTCGAATCCGATGTTCGTGGCTGTCTTTACGAGTCGCAGTACTGTCATTTCGCTCTGACATTTAACTCTGACTCGGAATCACTCGGACATTTAATGGCGTAGACATACACGCATACACGCGGATACACGTGGATAGCTCAAACTTAAAGGGTTAGTTCACCCAAAAATGAAAATTCTGTCAGTATTTACTCACCCTCATGTTGTTCCAACCCCGTAAGACCTTCGTTCATCTTCGGAAAACGAATTAAGATATTTAGGATATTAAAATCGCTCCTGCATACAGTCCATAGGCTTCTTGAGGGACTGGCTCTTGCCGTCCCCGAAAAGTCATAAAAGACATCGTTAAAATAGTCCAAGTGACTACAGGGGCTCAATCTTAAGTTTATCAAACGACGAGAACACTTTTGTGCGCAAAAAAACAACAAAAATAACGACTTTATTTCAACTATTCGTTTATTTCTCCCTCTGCGCGAGTCAGCTAACTAGTTTAATAGCGTAAGCTTCTGTTATTGTACGTCACACGCATCACACACACATGACCAGCGTCGACCAATAGTGAGCCTACGTGTGACGTAGCTCTACGCAATCACACTACGTTAACGGACTATAGGCTTATGGAGAAGGAAGTGAACAGTTGAAATAAAGTCGTTATTTTTGTTGTTTTTTTGCGCACAAAAGTGTTCTCGTCGTTTGATAAACTTAAGATTGAGCCCCTGTAGTCACTTGGACTATTTTAACGATGTCTTCAATTACTTTTCGAGGACAGCAAGAGCCAGTCCCTCAAGAAGTCTACGGACTGTATGCAGGAGCGATCTTAATATCTTAAATATCTTAATTTGTGTTCCGAAGATGAACGAAGGTCTTACGGGGTTGGAACAACATGAGGGTGAGTAAATACTGACAGAATTTTCATTTTTGGGTGAACTAACCCTTTAAAAGTGGCATGTTTACACAAAAGTCATGATGTCATGTTGCTCAGTGAAATGAAGCGAACAGACGGACAATGTTTTACCTCATCAGCTGGAACATCATTAAAAATAAAGTTTATCCATGCAGTCTCATTGGAATCCAGAGGAAGCTCATGCAGCGACTGTCTTCTTCCACAAACAGGCACTGCACAATATTCTGTATTGCTCGGTAGCTCGATCTGGTTTGTCATCACGAGGTAGGCATCTATGTTATTTAGCTATGCGTGTAATGCACGAATGGGTGGGCGGGGCTAAACCGGCCTGAAATAGGCATTGATCTTCTTCTGCGGGGGTGGTGTTTTATTCTCTTTGATGTTATAGTTCCCCACTTTGAAAAGCGAGTCATTTGCTGAGCCTGGTGTCAATGAAAGCTTTTGTTGGACTATTAAGGACGTTTTCAGTTCTGAAACTTGCAGGATATTTTTATAATATGATGACCTCTTAGATGTCAAAAGCTCACGGAAACTTTTATTTCTCAGTTCATCACTCCTTTAACAAAGTGCCTAGTCATGCTAGTTGCTGCAACTGCATAACCAGGTTCATAGTGTGTCATCTCCAGATGACTGATATTTATGGCTCAGGGTATTTGAGAGTGTGCTAACTTTGGTCTTTTATAGTTATTTTTATACACTCTTCTGTATTCTTGGTGGTTGTTGGAATGATTCAGAATCACACTCTTGGTCAAACATAGTTGAAATTGACTGGTTGCTATTATTCACCAGGGACTTCCAAACATCTCTATATTCCATAAGGGAGTTTTTTATTTATTTATTTTATTTTTATATATATTTTATTAATTTATTTATTATAGTTATTGTAGCACACCCGTCGTCCGACTGGCGTTGCTGCAGTAAATTATTTCTGTTTAATAAAACAAGGAGACAGACAAAGTTGTGCTGTTATCTGCAGTCTGAGTCGCTCTGTAATGGCTTTATTACAATAATTCAAAATTCAAAGTCTATATTTTATACCAATATATATGTCACAATGTCTTGTCACCTTATATGTGACTCAAACAATACACCAATAAACAGGTTGCATCACTCTTGTAGTGTCTTACTTTTCATACTCAGATAGTATTTTTCTCTAATAACTCAATACTCTTTCCCTTAAAACATAGATCACCATGTTTTACAATCTCTGTTGTCTGAGCAAATGTATCATACTAAATACTGTGTAACTAAATAGTTGAGCGAACCATTTAAACTGAATTACAATACAGCAGATACTCAATCGAAAAAACATTAAACATTCAAATATCAACAGTAACCACTATAATATAGCATGCAAAGATATATATAACATTCAACAATTAGCATTACAAATATATGTATCAACATATACATATACTTCAGTCTTATAACCCTTGGCGATGGCTTAATATATCACTTTTTATGCTCTAAACAATATAAACATCACATTAGTTTGGGCTTTCAGTGTTCTGGAGCCTTTAACCATTTATATTATACATTATTAATACCAGGCCTCACGCGGGACGGCCGCGAATGAAACTTAATTTGCATAAACACAACACGGTCTCTATTTAACATCTTAACTTTAGTCAGGAAATATATAACCCTCTCAAAACAATGAATACACGGTCTCAACATATTGCATCATGTTTTTATGTCTATGGTGACTGATTTCACCTACCTGTTTGATAAAACAAAGAGACACAAAGTTGTGCTGTTATCTGCAGTCTGAGTCGCTCTGTAATGGCGGCTTCTTCTCCGCGATTCAATTACTCACATAGTCCCCGATCAGCACACTGTCTCCACCTACTGTCCACTGTGGGTATCACTCCTCACAAATTCAACATTATAATTGAAACAATATCACGCACGCAATCAAATAAAATAAAAAATACATACAGAAAAATATAATTATTCCTGTGACAATACATACAGGGTGTCACATTATCATAGCAGTGGGTGTTTACATATAATCAGCAACAAAACCAAGCTTTTCAATCAGATGATCAGGGACAGGGGGAAATGGTTTTAAATGTTTCAAAATTATAACCTCATTTAAAATAACTAAGCAAAAAAGTGTTTTATATTGTCTGGGGATGCACCGATTCCCAGCTAATAGTGGTATTGGGCCGAAAAGCAAAAGTATCTGATTGATAGAATATTATGCATAAATTCAATATTTATGCCTGTTTAGCTGCTGTGCACACTCGTAAAACATGCGTCCGTTAGATTAAAACTAAATAACTAATTATGTAATCTCAAAAATGTGTTTCGGGTAAAAGGAATTTTAAACAACCTCAAACCAAATATTTTTTTCCCCACAAAAAACAGAAAATTATTTGTCATTTATTTTTAACCATAGCAATGTTTTTAAAAACAGATGAAAAGTGGTTTAGTTGGTAAAATCGTGTTTCCCCCAGTGTAGCCTCAGCCTCAGACTTCACACCCACTGTGACCCATACACAAAATAGGAAATACTTCAGATCAAGTTTCAAAGTCTGGCAGGGATCGTGTGTGTCACTTTCAAACAAACGAAGCCATGCAGTATTGTGACGGAGTCAGCTTTTAGGCAAGTTAAAACATATCTTCACTTGCATTTATTGCATTGACTGTCTCACCTCAGGCATCCTACTTGAGATGATATAATGGACCAGAACTTCTGTATCAGATTATGCATTTTATGTGGTAAGATATTTATTTATTTTCTTCTCTATCTTTGTTATTTTGTACACAACATTAATACCTAAATTGCTGCATATTTCCACTCTTTTGTAAATCTTTTTGCTCACTTTTGTACGATTTGAAAGCAGCGAATGGCAATGAGATTTGATCATCATCTCACCATGTAAAACTGGCTTTACATTAAAGCAGTGAAATGAATTGCAAGAATCATGTTGCACATAAATAGATGAGTGAGTGAAAAACACAATATATCATTGTAGGAATTATGTTTTAAGCTCTTTCAGTTTTAATTTTATTGTAGATTTACATTCAAAGACATTGTTGATTATATATATAAAAAAAATGACATTTAATTTTTGGATTAAATAAGTTCAAAACCATGAACATCTTTTTAAAGTAGTAGCATATGATCAGATATTAAATATGAGGATGAAAAACTGTCTTATTGCAGCAATGCACTTCCTTCCCTAAATGGCAATCTGTCCAATTCTGTCTCATTTGAGCTTTCTGCCTTCACACATTTCACACTCAAACACACATGTGAGAAAAAACCATGCACTGCAAAAATTAACTTATAGATGTACGACACATTTTCACATACAATTACACTTCAGAGAAAACCAAAAAACATTATTTTATGGGGTTTTTTAATGGTTACAAGACTGTTATGTTAATTTAGTCAATTATATTAATTTTGCCTCTATTGGTGCTACACTGTAAAAAATGTTTTTTTTGTTGGTGAAGTAAATACTACTGAATAAAAAAACAACGTAATTTACATGAAAAAGTTAGTTCAGGCAAGAATTAAATAAAACTAAGTAAATTCCATTTCAGTACTTAATTCAAGCGAGTAGAAATGAAAGTGTAAATATCAACTAAATAAAATGAAGTAAAAATGACTCAACTTTTCTGATAATGGGGTTCCCATCATGCACTGGACCGTGAATAATTAACGAGGTTCATTTTTCACTGGTTTCCAGCTGTATTTACACTGTTTTATCATTGATTTTTGTTGTCAGAATTAGTAACTTGCCATTTTGTGATATTTCGAGTATTTTTTTTGCTCAAAATGACACATTCAAACACAAAATCGACCCATCAAATGTTACCACCATTGTGTATTGTCTACCAAGTATTGAGGTCTTTGCATTCACATGCTTAATGGCTGACATGATATAATATCAATTACTTTGATGATCTAAGTAAAGCACATACTGTAAATGAATAATAAAATTCAATATCATTGTTTTAGTGAAATGTAATGCAAAGATAAATCGGTATTAATCAACCTTTTACTAGCCAAGTTAAAATTACTTATTTTCTGTAAAGTTAACTTAATTCCATATTCCAAGTAAATTCAACTTAAAGATTTCTAATTAAAGCTACTGATAAATATGTTTAGGTTTTTACTTGGCAAATCTTTGTAAATTTACAAGCATTTTCTGAGTGAAAAAAGTTGCCTAGCTTATCCTACTCCATTTTTTTTTTCAGTGTACACAGTGAAATAACCGACTGCTGCTGAACTGATGTTTGGCATCTGTTACTAGCATGTATTTTAGCAACTAGAAACTCTTTGACAGTCTTTTTATCACTTCTGAACACTTAGCATTTCAGTCGGTGATGATGGCTTTTAACATTGACCCTGTTTCCTGGAAAACCTTCACTGCACCTTCACCTCCACAGAGACAAAATGGTGCCTTTGGCTATAAGGTGATACAGAGAGCATCAAGGTGAGAGCAATATAACCACTCATAATGAAAAAACAAAACGCCCTGCTAAGACAGGAAGAACAAAAAAAGCCCCACCACATTCAACCACACTTTTGTAGCTTTTAGGGGGTGGGAGGGGAGGGGTGGGGGTAGCCTTCAGCCTTTTGTCCTCCATTGCACATAGAGAACAATTGTACTGGTTAACAATTAAAGTTTGTATTTCTTCTGAATCTTCATTGTTGAATTGTTTATTTGAATTTACATCACAGAGAGAGACCATATTTTGACGCACTGATTATGGAGCGAATTATGTGTCATAATTAAACAAACCCAGCATTTTGCAACAAACTCGATCTGCTTTGGAAAGGAAAAGTCGACTCGCGAACAAACAGAAAGCAATTTGCAAAAACAAAGGTCAATTTCAGCGAAAATGCAGTGGAGTAACCGATATTGTGTTTAAATACATGAGCCTAGATAATATTTCACAAATAAATACAAACCATGCTACCGAATTGCATGCAACCTTTGAACAAATACCAAATCTTGTGCATACAAATGCAAAATCTGTCTAAATCGGGCAGATTTTCTCACAAATGCAGATTAGTAACTTCCTCTTCTAAAACTATAGATGCGGCTAAAATAGGATTCAATTAGCGCTAGTCTCCCAGTCGGTCATGCTGGAGACATTTGACAACTTCTACATTTATAAATGTTTTGAGAGCCACTGCTGACAGTTCTGGTCATATTACAAATATTTTTTGAAATTTAATGTTTCATAAGAGAGCAAAGGTTTGAATTCAACTTAATGCTTTGCCAGTATTTCTCATTTCCCCTGTCTCTGAGTAACGTAAAACTGTTTTGCAACACTTCAACTAATAATAACTTAAAACTTTGCTGATGTCCATCCTTTTTTTAGTGTGTGTGTGTGTGTAATACGATCAGAGGCGGTAACACTTTAAAATAATGGTCCGTAGTTAACAAGCTATGCAGGAAGTAATAGTAAGTAGTATTGCATTAACACCGAACTTAATATGAACTAATATGGAAGCAATATTAACTAAGCATTAAGTAATGGGTAATTTAATAGGCGAAATATATCCTCATTGAGAACTACTTGTGAACTAAGAAATAATAACCAATTAATTACTAATCACAAAAGTATGTCTAAAAAGTGAACAATTGTGGGGGTTTTATACTCTTAACGTGGTCATAACATTTCAGAAGCATGTGCCTCAAATGGGTTCTTTGTGGAAACCAGTTTATGAAGTTTATACATCCCCCCAAATACATTAGCTAGGTTGAGATTGTGACCACTACTCTTGCCAGGATGGACGCATGTTCTCTGTTTATTTAAAACTTAAACATAAAATAATCCTAATAAAGACCGTTTTTAAAAATAAATCTTAAATAATTAGGAAGTGATGCTGACACTCTCATGATTGGATTAGTTCACTATTATGAGCTCTATTGAATGTCAGTCACATATATCTCAGACTCAAGACCTATAACTTTATGTTACAGTAGCTGCCTGAGGAGGACTTCTCTTTAGGACATGAATATAAACATTGATGTTCGCTTGTCAAAAACAATTTGTATCTTTAATGAAGAAATTGGCTGCATTTATGTTACGATAAGCCCAAAACCACATCTTCCAGATTACAGTTTGTTAGAATTTTTTTTAAGACATTTTTTTTAGAATTGTATTTTTTATTTTTTAAAAACTGTCTTTATTAGGATTATTTTATGTTTAAGTTTTAAATAAACAGAGAACATGCGTCCATCCTGGCAAGAGTAGTGGTCACAATCTCAACCTAGCTAATGTATTTGGGGGGATATATAAACTTCATAAACTGGTTTCCACAAAGAACCCATTTGAGGCACATGCTTCTGAAATGTTATGACCATGTTAAGAGTATAAAATCCCCACAATTGTTCACTTTTTAGACATGTTACTTTTGTGATTAGTAATTAATTGGTTATTATTTCTTAGTTCACAAGTAGTTCTCAATGAGGATATATTTCTTTAGTAACAATCAAATACCTACCAAGGAACTACCTTTGTACTAAATTACCTATTACTTAATGCTTAGTTATTGCTTCCATATTAGTTAATAGTATTAACTTCGGTGTTAATGCAGTACTACCTATTACTTCCTGCATAGCTACTTGTTAACTACGGACCATTATTTTAAAGTGTTACCTCAGAGGCTTTTGCATCATACTCAAACAGCACACCCAACCAGGAACACCACAGATGTCTCCTTTTTTAACATGTTCTCTTATCCTCCTGTCTTCTTCCACAGTCTACTTGTGAGTGATCCTTTAATACAACACAGTCAAACTCAAAGAGGACAAATATATCGTTGTGGTGTCACTGATGGAAAATGCATTCCACTGTCCATTACCGGTACTTTGTTTGTAAATGATGCTTTCATTTATGTAATAAAATATACAAGTTTTATTATCCATGATAGTATTTCTTTAAAAAAAAATGTTTTATTGAACAGTCACCAATGAGGCTGTCAACATGTCCCTTGGACTTTCAATGTCTCTAGATCCTCCGTCTTCAACAGCAGTGGTAAGTTTCATATTTTAAAGGGGTCATGATATTTTTTTAAATTATTGTTTTATGTTTCCTGAGGTGGACATGATTTTTACATAATTGTTTTTTTTTTTTTAAAGATATAAAAGACCATTTTCCACCCTGATTTAACCTGATATGAACGCTCTGTTTTAAGAGGCGTGTCTGCCATGACACTTGAGTGTGAACGCCCACTGTTATGATTGGCTAACTCTCAAAATCGTTTACTGCGTTTTTACCTTTACAGCTGTCGAGATTAACTAAAAGTGAAAAGTACGGTGGCCGAGAAAGCTCAACGCGCTGAAACTGAAGAAAACGCATGCAAATAAAATTTTTTTTAAAACAGATGCAAATAGAAAAAAACACCCGAAAATTAAGAAGACACTTTCATCAGTTTCACAACACACGTGAGCTTCAAAAACTCACGACACCACCCAATAGAAATGCACTGCAGATAACACAAGGGAAATGTTTCCAGGGGAACCAAATAAGTGACGAACCCGGCTGGGACGTGCTGGTTCTTACAGCTTAAAATTCTGCTTTATGTATTTATTTATTTATTTTGCAGAATACACAGAGATTACATTTTTATAACATACAACTTGTATACAATATACGAGCCCATTCTCATCCCAAAGCGCCATATAGGACGCTTTTGCAAAAGCGTAAATATTCAACGCACATGGCACCCTTTAACGTAAAATGAGACGCAGGTATATTTGGGCAGAAGGCGCCCCCTAGTGGTCTAACCCTTACCCTACACCATACGTTGGATATTTACGCTTTTGCAAAAGCGTCCTATATGGCGCTTTGGGATGAGAATGCGTTGAAAATACAAAATGTATTAATAATATGTTCAATGTCATCAGAATACAAATAAGAAAAGAAAAATGAGCTGAAGACTAAAATAAATAAAGAAAAAAGAACATGAAGGAAAGATATTTATCTATACATCAGTTACACTGTACAAATTATTTCATGTTATGTTTAAATTTTCATACAGAAAAGTTTCCTAAAAATCGTTGGTAATGTAGGGTCCAAATTTTTAAATTTGAGACACACAGATACACACGCATATTTGAGCTTTATTTTTGTAAAGTCAAAAATAAAAATGTATTTGCAACCGTTATGTTAACAGCATTATATTTCTGTGGTAAGAACAGCTCTCCAGCTGATGGACACGTGCTACATTGTCATGGGAACATCCCAGGTGAAAATAATGAGGAATTACGTTGTTTTCCGTTGCTCCCTTCATCAAGTGCGTTCCACGCGGCTACATAATGGTGCGCTGCTCACTCCAAAGTCCCACTTTAAGAGCTCTGCCGTCTCCCATTCGAAGGGAGAATGGCATAGGGCATAGACATATACACTAGACGTCACCTTGGCTACGGCAGTTCATTGGAATGAATGCGTCAATAGAGCCGCCATCTTGAAACAGGGGAGCCCCTCCACTTTAATGCATCAGCGTTAATGTAGACAAGTCTAATGGAAATAAAATCACTATAAGTCATCATGAATGCGATTTTTCTCGTTTTTTTGGTTTGTTCCAATGGTCAGACATGTATTTATCATTTGATTCCAGAAAAAAAAAAAATTATAAAAAAACATTCTTCCTAGTTCAGATTTCATCCGTGAACATCATACACTGCACAAAAGTCCGCCACCATCAATGAATTCGAAGTAAAGGCAGAGATAGCAACGTTACCTAGCTACTTCCTATGACAAGACCCCTGTTCCAAGATGGCGGCGGTTTTGACTTATGCTTAGAACCCCAAGGTGACGTCTAGTGTATATGTCTATGGGCATAGGGAATAGGGTTGGGTATCGAGAATCGAGTATCGATTGGAACCGAGACTAACTTTTCGTTTTTCCCGGAATCGTTCAAAAGTTAAAATTTCGATTCCTAGTTTCGATATTAACAGTCCGCCGAGCGGAAGAAGAAACCGCTGAACAACACCAACGAAGAAGCGTCTACCGGAAGTGTTGGCATAACCACGCGAGTCGAACATGAGTACCTTACGTCGGCGGTCCAAAGTGTGGCTTCACTTTTCTAAAAATAACGAAATCTCGGCAAAATGCAAAATTTGTGACAAAAGGAGTATTTTTACAGAAGGAGTATTTCCTTCAGAAAGGCCGTTGGTTAGCAAGGTTAGCTAAACTTTTTTGACCCTGCCTCTTAAAAGAATCGGAATCGAGAATCGTTAGGAACCGGAATCGAAACAAGGAATCGGAATCAGAATCGTTCAAATTCAAACGATACCCAACCCTAATAGGGAAGCTCACGAGCAATAAGCATAGACAGTATAAGGCAATACTATCTGTCCTAAATAGTATCCGAAAATAGAATTAGTACGTCCCAAATCGTAGTATGCTGAAATGAGTGTTCCAAAGAGACCCAGATGGCCCCGGATCCGGTCAGAATCCAAAGTGCAGATCGATACACACTCTAACGGCTGATATTGCCCACAACCCATCGCGCGTTGGATGAGGATTAGGGTAGAAATATAAACACGAGTAAAAAGTGTCACAGTAAAAAACTACAGACATGGAGGACGCGAGTCCGGCAGTTGTGTAGAGAGGTTTAGATAAAGGGGTTTAAGTGATTAATTGTCAGTAACCTGACGAAAATGTATTTATTTAATGTTGGCTCCATTATTATACTGCATCTGCAGAAGCATTGTGAACTTTTGTAAAGATACGTTTAGCCATTAACTTTTAAATGCATCATTATTCAAATTGCAAACACATTCGGAGAGTCTCCGCATGAAAGACCCACGACTGGCAGGTGAACGTGCAACAACATTTCCCTCCGAAACGGTAAGAAATTAAATTAGATTGAATGGAGGATTTTAATTGTGACGAGATTATTGACAGGCCAGTTTGCGGTGCACGCGACAGAGCTGTCTGTTAAAGATGACGAAGTAATTAGTATGTCCCAAAGCTTGCCTACTCTTTTACTACACAAGTATGTACTTTTTCTTGACAAAAAGAGTACATACTGTTAGGGCGTATAGGCGAATCGGGACCCAGCATGAGAATGTCTAATATGGGTTCGTCACTTATTTGGTTCCTCTGGAGAAATGTCCATTGTGGTCTGTGTTATTTTCAGTGCATTTCTATATTTGGAACACACTTTTTTTTTATTTGCATGTGTTTGCTTCAGTTGCAGCACGTTGAGCTATCTCAGCCACCGTAGAAAAGTGTTGATTACAGTATTATATTTAGATATACTCCTGTCACATGAAAGATTACAGCGATAAACATTGTAGACGATCACACACGATGTCTGTTGAGCACATGAATGTAGTGATCTCGTCCTCACAGCACGATTTTTGTGCTCTCACAAATTATTTCATTATAATAACAATGCAAACACGATAGATTCATTGTGCAGTGTAGATCACTTCATCATCTGTGTGAGACAATTGTACATATAGCCCAGAATAGTGTCACGTTGAAAATAAAATCTTAATTTCTCTCAGGTTTGTGGTCCAACCATACCTAAGACCTGTGATGTAACCACTTACAATGGCATGTGCTTTAAAATCAGTCCAGATGATGTTGTGAGCAGATCTATGCCAAAGACTCTGAGAGGTACATTTATTACATTCTACCAAATCTAAGCATGTCTTCTTCATACTGTATAAACTGTATTACATGATTTTCATTTATTCAGATTAAATGAAAATATGATGCAATTATTCATTTCTCCAACTTCAGAATGCCCACCAGAAATTGATATTGCTTTTTTAATGGATGGATCTGGAAGTGTAAATTCTCTGGATTTTAATAAGATGAAAGCATTTGTTATAGAAATGATCAAAAGTTTTATAGACCGTGATGCACAGGTATGATAATCCATGCATTTATTATGATTTAGCTTGTCCATGATTTTTACTCCCATTTATCAGTCACTAAATCTATCTATCTATCTATCTATCTATCTATCTATCTATCTATCTATCTATCTATCTATCTATCTATCTATCTATCTATCTATCTTACAGTTTGCCATTGCACAGTTTTCTACAGACTGTGACATTCATGACAAGTTTCAAGTCAAAAAACCCATGGAATGGGAAGATGCAGTGAACAAGATATCTCAACAGAGAGGATGGACTAACACTGCAAAAGCCATACAATATCTTGTGTGAGACAAGACTGCTGATATTTCATTGAATTTATTTCATCTATGCCATTACAGTAAAAGTAATATTGTTTTTACTGTAATATTGTACCATATGACAGATGTCTGAGCAATCATGCAAAAAGCACATGCTATTAAATGCAGGAATAAATGGATACACACACCTCTACAAGTATTTAGATTTTTATGACTTTTACAGTAATAAGGTTTTACACCACATTTTAATTTGAACCATGTTTCAAAGACAAGCAATGTAAACTTAATAGTAATGTATCCTATACAGTTGCATAATTGCATTGTTGATTGAATATTTTGTACTATTTTATTTTTCAATAGGAATGAGCTATTCGTAAGTAAAGGGGGTGTTAGACCATCAGCCAGTAAAATTTTGATTGTTATCACGGATGGTGAATCAACTGATTCAAAGTTGACTGAAGCTGTTCAACAAGCACAAGCTAAACATATAACACGATATGCTATTGGGGTAAGATTTGATTTCCACTTATATTTTGCCTTTGCTAAATAAAAAAAAAAGACTTCAAAAATCAAAAACCGTTATTGAAATCATTGCATGTATGACGTGTGTTACAATTTCATTGATGATGATTGATTTTGACAATTTCAATCATTTCATTTTTCTTAGGTTGGCAATGCTTTTGTTATTGGCAAAGCAATAAGGGAGCTGGCAATTATTGCATCTTTACCCACCAATAAGCATGTGTTCAAAGTAACCGGTTTTGATGCTCTGAAAAGTATTCGTGAAAAACTCAAAGAGAACATTATAGCCATTGAAGGTATGTGTGCAGAGAGAATGTTTACATTTTACATTTATCAGCTTTCATGTTAGTACAGATTTGTTCAATAGATAGATTTAAAATGATACATTTCTAGTTAACTGTTGCTGCTTTTATTTGCTAGGAACCCAGACCTCTGGAGATTCATCTCGAATGGAGTTTGCACAGGACGGATTTAGTGTAGCATTGACATCAAATGTAATTCTATTTCACTTATTTGCAACAAGGTTTTGTTTTTTCATTATTTGCAAGATATCCATTGAAGTTGATATCCAAGAAGTAAATTCTTATAATGTTATCTGCATTCAGACAGATATGATAATGACCGCAGTGGGAGCTTTCCAGTGGAAGGGTGGATATCAGCTGTACAAAACAAATGATATTTCAGATCAGTCTTTCAAGTCTAATTCACTCTTTCAAGCTGGAAGTGAGCATGACAGTTATTTAGGTGAGAATCGAGATCTCTTCTTCGATTGTGTAAATCAATATAAATCCGTCAAAATACATTTTTGTCTATGTTCTTCACAGGTTATTCCTTGACAATAGCAACAATATTCAGAGCAAAGTATGCAGTCATGGGAGCACCAAGACACAAGCATAAGGGACAAGTAACTGTTTCAAGAATTGATCGAAGTGATGTAAAGCAACTGGATTCTCCTAAGGTTGTACATTTATGTAACATATTGGCACATCACAAATGAATGTAAGCGAGTGAAAGTACATAAACTCAGAATAGCTGTATGGTAACTATATTGCTTCTTTCTCAGCCTCAGATTGGCTCATATTTTGGAGCTGAGGTGTGTGCGGTGGATTTGAACAGTGACTCCTATACGGACCTTCTTTTGGTATCGGCACCAACGTACACAGAGTCTGACCGAGAGGGCTTTGTGGCTGTTTACATCTTCACGCGTCGGGTCAGTGATTTTTGGGGGGATTCAATTAAGACTAATATTTTTAAAGAGTTCATCAAGACTAAATAAATGTACATTTGTGTCTGTTTAACCCTGTTTCTCCTCTCTCTGTTATATCTCTATAGGCAAACTTATTTTTTTCGAATACACTGGTGGGCATGGCAGGTCAGAGGGGTCGGTTTGGCTCTTCTCTGGCCAGTCCAGCAGATCTGAATGGTGATGGTTTCATGGATGTGCTGGTTGGAGCTCCTTTAGAGGAGGATGGACAGGGCAGCATCTACATCTTCAATGGGATAGATGGAGGGATCATTTCCAAATACTCACAGGTGAAAAATACGTGGATTGGTGACGGGGATAGTTCACGTAAAAATGAATTCTGAAAAATGCGAAACCTTCTTTTGTATTACTTTTCCTTGACTCACATATAGACTCTGATATTTTTGTTGTCTGTTTTATTCCCTCTTGAATGAAACAGAGGATTGTTGGATCGTCTGTGGGACCAGGTTTGCGGTTCTTTGGGATTTCATTGAGTCAGTCTTCTCTAGACCAGACTCGAGACATCCTTCCTGACATTGCTGTTGGGTCTAAGGGAGCAGTTCTGCTTCTCAGGTTTGTTTTCTTCCATAAAGAACTAACATATATACATAAACAGTGTTTCAGCCATAATTATTCATATGTAGGGTTGGGTATCGTTTGAATTTGAACGATTCTGATTCCGATTTCGATTCCTTGTTTCGATTCCGGTTCCTAACGATTCTCGATTCGATTCTTTTAAGAGGCAGGGTCAAAAAAGTTTAGCTAACCTTGCTAACCAACGGCCTTTCTGAAGGAAATACTCCTTCTGTAAAAATACTCCTTTTGTCACAAATTTTGCATTTTGCCGAGATTTCGTTATTTTTAGAAAAGTGAAGCCACACTTTGGACCGCCGACGTAAGGTACTCATGTTCGACTCGCGTGGTTATGCCAACACTTCCGGTAGACGCTTCTTCGTTGGTGTTGTTCAGCGGTTTCTTCTTCCGCTCGGCGGACTGTTAATATCGAAACTAGGAATCGAAATTTTAACTTTTGAACGATTCCGGGAAAAACGAAAAGTTAGTCTCGGTTCCAATCGATACTCGATTCTCGATACCCAACCCTATTCATATGTGTTATATTTGTTTATACTTTCAGGTCCAGACCCATAATGCTCTTGGAAACCAAAGTAACTTACAACCCAACCAAAATACCAACTGGTGAAACAGGCCAGTCACTGGAAAACACCATGAAAGTGTGTTTCACCATGAATCGATACAGTCACGACATAAAAGGTTTGTCCAAAATTAGAAGTATTCCTTTATGTTGTAGTTAATGTTAAAGTGTGCAAATTTCCAAATGGGTTTCCAATTTCCTTTCTCTGAGAATCAAAACAAGCCCAACTCAGCAGCTTTGGCTCAACCAATGGCGTGAGTTTGGGGGTGGAATTATTTGTTGGACCAACCAATGGCAGCCAGGGGGAGCCTTCTGTTGTCCAGTCTGAAAACAGCCTAATAGGGGATTATCACGCTTCCGGGTTTCATGGGCGGGATTTGTCAACTTTGTGCATGTCCACTTCCGACCCAGTTCAACAATCCCCGAGACGAATGCTATTTATGTCACTACTCTGTTCCACTTTGTAAATCTAACCAACAACGCCAACCCCTCTTAAGTTTTCATGGATTCCCGACTGAATTGAGTATAAGGAAGAAATGGATTAAAACTTTAAAATAAAACAAGGTAGCACGTTTGTTTGCAGCCGGCACTTTAGTGAATCAGATTAATTTACCAGGGATGCTGTATAAATAAACTTAGTGTAGTCCTTCATCAGTTTGCCAGCGAGATCAGTGATTCAACAGAAGTGGCAGTGCACTACTTATCAGCGTGATAATCCCCTATTTTTTCTAATTCCATTTGATGTTGCTGGTGGCGCAAACTACAGCTTTAAGCACAAACTTAAGCTTTTTTTTTTCTCTGAAAGAGAATTCATGTAAATTCTCAGAAGCCCTGTACCACACCGTAAAAAAAGAATAAAAATGAAATGTGTAATATTTTGAGATTAAAGTCAAAATATTTCGAGAATAAAGTCGAAATAATTCACGAATAAAGTTGGATAAAGTCAAAATATGCCTAACATTAAGTGTAGTATGCTACTCTTAAAAACATCTAAACTTTTGAACTGCAAAACAAAAAAAATGTCTTTCATGTATTACTTTTTATATGTATATGTTTTATGTTCATTATCTAGACCTATCCGCAAATATTAATTACACCATAATGCTGGATGCCAAACGACAGAAATATCGAGCATACTTCTCTCCCCAAACCCGGATCCTCAGTAAAGTGGTGAACATAAAATCGAATGCAGAAACTTGCAGAAGTCATCGTTTCTTTATAGATGTAAGTCTGAAACATCAGCACTTTTTGACAATTGTTTTTTCCTTTCTCATTCTTTTGAATACCTACAGTAAATCAGTTATTCTGGCTGTAAGACAAAACAATTATGAATGAAATTTAAACGGGAATAATTCAATCTCAACAATACAACAATGTGGCACTACTGAATGCATAATGAAAATCCTGATTTTAGGGGAAATGAACATCATTGATCTATTCTTGTCCACTCAGGCTTTCTCAGAAGATGCCCTGAATCCGTTGTCCAATCAGTTAACATTCACATTTGAGGGTCAGCCACTTGCCAGACTGCAAAACATAAAGCCAGTCCTGCACCCAAAGATAAAGACCATCACAGACCACAGTGTAAGAGAAGACAACCGATGATTGTTTTAAAGTATGAATAATTCAGATGTAACATTAAAGGGAAAGCTCCTCTAAAAATGAAACCTCTGTCCTCATTTAGACCTATATTACATTTCTTTCTTCTGTTGGACACAAAAGTAGATATTTTGAAAAATGTCTTTGCTTGTCCAAACAATAAAAGTCAAAGGGTTTCAATGTTGTTTTGGACCTCATTGACTTTAAAGGGGCACTTGGCAAGTAATTTCTTCGCTGATTTTCACTTTTGTTGTCGCATGTTTTCTCATCGAGCTCCCCCTACAGCTGTACGGCGTAATTATTTCACAACACTGTCATAAAAAAAACTCACTTGCGACACCTTCCTCCTGCTTTCCACCGCTGCTCATGTGCATTTGTTATTATCAGAGCTGGCCAACTTTATCGTGTGGAGCTGTGTCTACCGAGTGGGTAATACGTCATACATAGTATCATAGAATTATGTGGATTTGCCACAAAGCAGTTCGTGTTTCTCGCTCGTTCTCGCTTCTCACGAGACTTCTATTTCAAACTTACTGGGACATTAGTCCCGATGTTGCAAGGTTGGTTTTCCACCTGGGGACGCTGGGGGGAAAGTCACCGTTCTCACCAGAACAGATAATTGAACCATCCAATGTAGCGGCCCCTTGGATTTACTGATCAATACGCAGAGAGTTTCAAACGGGTGTCGATTTATTTATACTTCAACGTGCACCGTGCACCATGAACACCGTGAAAACTACAGAATAAACAGAAGAAGTACAAAATGCTTCAATGTAGTTTCACAAATAATTGCACATAAATAATGTTCACATATTAATCGTGTTTACACACAATGCAAGTCATTTTTAACTAACAACCAATATTACTATGAAATGTTTTTAAGCCTTTATGACAAAAATATCACATGCTTTTACATGAAATACAATGGGCTCTATGCACGGCGTTATTTCCGGTGAAGGATTAAGGATGCTCGATAACTTCCGCCGATCATAGAGTCCAATGCAATACCGAGAATTTATATTGAATTTTATACTCCATGATTATACTAATGAAACGTTAGTCACAAAAACAGATAAAACAGACACCCCTCGTTGTGTTTATGCTTCTTTTTAAAATTATATTAAATAAACATAACTATATATAAAATGACATCTAAACGTATGTACGTTTCGTTTCAAAGACGGGAGGACAGTAAATATTTAAGACTCTGCCATAATCCCGTTTTCTCCGGTTTTCCTCCGCTTTAATCTACACAACCGGAAATGGACGAGCATCATTCCTTACGTCAAATGCGGAACTTATGCGTGCATATAGCCCATTTGGTTGCTCACCGAGATGATATTGCTTGTATATTGACGACATGTGCAATTAACCATAAACAAATAAAGTAGTAAGATTTCTTTTCCTTAAAATCCCTTCTAATGACAATAAACTAGACACACTTTCATACCTCATTCCGCTATCCAAGGACGCTATTCAAATAGTTTCCACCATCAGCTATCGTGCTCTCTTGACACTCTCACAGTCCGTAGGTCTTAGAAATAACACGTACAAACAATACAAAATAATAAAATCACAATGTGAACTCTTTCTTTACAAGAATCAAAAGGATGAACATGAAAAATAACTACATGTTTAACAGTTTTACCGCTCTTCCGACGACACGTCACAGCATCACATTATGAGGAGAGAGTGGCAGGAAGTTTTTGCGTCACGAACACATTAGAAGAAGAAAATGCGCCTTTTTCAAAATAAAAGCCAAACAGACAAAGTGACACCGTAGAACTATAAATATAATAATAATATAATATAAAATATTTATATAAATGTAATACTATGTAAGATAATATTAAAGTGATTTATCAGACATTTACATCCAAATGATTTCTAGACGGTTTTATTAAGTTGAAATAGTTGCCAAGTGTCCCTTTAATAAGACAAGTTCAATCATTTTTCAAAAAATCTTCTTTTAGGTGAGTAAATGATGACAGAAATGGGGGAAATGAACTATTCACATGTCTAAAGATACGAATTGCTACTGCATGATAGTGATGCAGTTTTATATGATTTGAGAATGTACATATGTAAATATCTCACCTCATTCCACAGCTGGATTTTGAGATCAACTGTGGATCTGATGACATTTGTATCGATGACCTCAGGATGGATTTCAATTTCTCTGGGTGAATAGTTTTTCTGTATAACATTGAAGATCAGCACAAGGATACGTGGAGAGTAAGAATTGAGGTGCAACAATGATAAGTTATGGAATCATCCTTGTTTTACTGTGAGTATCTCTCTTTGGTTTCGTGATCCAGATCTACAAACATAGAGGTTGGCATAATGCAGGAGCTCAACGTGACCGTGTTTGTAGAGAACAGAGGAGAAAACTCATACAACACCCACTTCACCCTCAGCTACCCCTTTGGACTTTCCTACAGGAGAATCACATCTAAACAGGTGAGACCAGGATGATTTTATAGAAGAGACTCACAGTTTGTCTACGAATCAAGTCAAATTTTTGCTGAAAGGCAGTTTTTTTAGGCAAGTAAGATGCTTATTGCCATTCAATTTTCTATGGGTTGGTCATCGAATGAATGTTTACTCATCATTTTCTGTCTGAGCAGGGTAGAGTTGAGTGTGTGTCTCTGGACGCTGAGCGAGGAGTTACGCTGGGAGAAACCTCCTGCCAGATCAGTAAACCCATCCTCAAGGGAAACACTCAGGTGGGCTCACTTTTTAAACCGTCCCCAGACAGCAAACTGACATTGAATCAACGTGAAACGACGTCTCTCATGACATTGAAACAACGTTGATTTTGCTCATCGAATTAACGTTGAACCAACGTCAGACGCGGCATTCTTCAAAGCTAAATGAAAATCGAAAATTGTTTTGTTTCATAACATTGAAACAGCGCGTTGATTTCAAGTTGATTTTCTGTTAGTTTTGAAAGAATGACGCGTCTGACGTTGGTTCAACGTTAATTCGATGAGCAAAACAATGTCAGATCAACGTTGTTTCGATGTCATATTTCCACGTTGATTCAATGTCAGTTTGCTATCTGGGTCCTGTGTGTTTTTCTCTTCAAGCACTCATCATTTCCTGTGTCTACTCCTAGGCTGTGTTTCATATTACATACAGCATCGATAAAGAAAGCACCTTTGACCAAAATGTGACGTTCACCGCTAAGATCAACAGGTATTATATCATTTCTGGGGGTTGCGTGAGTGCACTCAAAGTGTACATCGCTTAACCTTGAGATGTTATGTTGTTGCTCACATGAGGAACTGATAACTGAAAATAATACTACTTACAAAAACCCTGCATTACTTACAGTGGGAATGACCAACACTCCGAAACCAGTCAATTCCTCAAAGAGAAAAGCATTGGTGTCAAATTCGCCATTAACATTGCCTTAATAAGGTTAGTTTGCTTGTTTTTCAACAGTCAATCTCTTCAGCACACAGATTTGACATAGTTTCCACTTGATGGCCAATGTAAAAGCTGTGGTTCTGAAGCAAAACATATAAATTGCAATTGCTTTTGCTTTAGAAAAATCGAGTTTTTGTAATGTTTTTATATACGTAAGTATCTTCTGCTCAAAAGGCTGCATTTATTTGTTCAAAACAACAATAAAATAGTAATATTATACAATTTTATTACAACTTAAAATAAATTTTCTTTATGTGAACACGTCATTTTAAAATGTAATTTATTCCTGTGATGCAAAGCTGATTTACTGCTCAACAGTGATGATAATCAGAAAAGTTGAAAACAGTTGTGCTGTTTCTAATGTGTGCACTGTGAAAAGAGAAGTGAAAGCAGTGAGCAACAACATTACAAAATCTTAATGATGACAAATCTTTGACCTGTAGTGTGCACACACACACACAAGATTTAAATTGCTCTCTGACACATTTTCCCTTTATTTTAATAAGACATGAAGATTCAAGCCTCCACATTAATTTTACTGCACAGAAACCTGATCTTGAAAGACCAGTCAAACAGATACTGAAGGTGCTGTAATGACATCCACACACTTCCATGAACATAAAAATTAAATAAAGATCATACCGTTTTCTTATTTTCATGGCAAACATTTAATTTGAATATCCTTCCCTTTTTCAGGTTGAAAATGACTTTAGAGAATTACATTTCAAAGTTTTCATCAAAGTACCAGTGATTTTGGGAGACAAATTCATTTGGACAGACAAAAACCTACAGGTATGTATATATGAATGTGCTGAAATATCCCATCTACTGTAGATTGATTCACATTTATCATATTAAAAAACAACGAAACATGTGTGTATGTGCTTTTAGATTCCAGACTGTGTGAAACAGAAGGATGAACAGCCGCTTTTTACCAATTTTGTGGAAGTACTTAAAAAGGATCGTGTGTTGGTCAGTGTTTCAGTTTCATTCCCTAATAAAAAAATAATATTATAATGATATAATTTTATAATTTCATATTCTTTGTGCATTGACCCCATTGCTCCATCAGAACTGCTCTGTGGCGGTGTGTGCCGTGTTCAGGTGTGACGTCACTCTCATAAAGAATGAAAGGAAACTCTATAATATATTTGGCAATGTGAGCTCTGGATGGATTGAACAGGTATCTGACTTTTACAGCAAATTCATATCTCAGAACAGACCATATATGTTCATAACTGTTTGATAATTTCGTATTATCATGATCTGTCTCTCTTAGACTGGACTCAAGGCTGCTGTTTTTGAGTTGGTCAGTTCAGCTTCTCTGGATTTTGACAAGAGCAAATACATTTTCTTTTCATCTGATTCTCAACACACTGCACCATCCGTCCAGGTGATGCATTTTCTTCACAAATAAATCGAAAATAAAATATAAAATTAAAAATGAAACCTAAAACACATGCAAAAGTTTATTTGAACCTATAAAGGGCCGTACACACCGGGAGGAATATCGGTGCGCGTTATTCTTCAGCGTTTTTTGTTTTCATACCCAAGCGATTTTCCCTGACGATGAGCCGAGTGAACATGTAAATTCATTCCCTGACATTAGATGGCTCTTAATGTAAAACAGAAATAGTCCTATTTTGAAGTCGCAGTTGCGTTTGTCATATCGTTCTTTATGTTCCGACACCAACGAGACCAGCAGCTCTACATTCATCTTCCTCTTATCTCTTCCTGGCAGTGTCGACGCTACTTGGCGTAGGCTACATCTTTTTTGCCGTTACGTATGTGTGCTCGGCAAGACCGTTTTGTGTTTGAGCGCCCCCAAGTTGTGTTTTACTGTAACTTCAGAAGCTCCAGACACATGAGCAAAAGCAGCAATCTCATTGGTCAGATAGTTTTTGATGCAGTGCGTCAAACCAAAAAACAAATGAACCCGAGGCGTTTTAAAAAAAATTACGCTTTTACGCGTGGCGTTTTTTCGTGTCGGTGTGCACACTCACATTGGCACCCTTTGTTTAGTCACGAGGCTTTAAACGTCGGTGAATATCTCGCGCCTTAAAGGCAGGTACACACCGGGACGAATATACAGACTGATCTCATGAAGTAGCGTGTGTATGACACGCCAATTCGTATTTCCATTTTTGGCGTGCTATCAAGACGCATAATCGCTTTTAAGCGTGTTTATGAATGCCGTTGACTTAACGTTATTACTTTATAAATAAATATATGACTTACCTCAACCCCGTCCCTAAACCTAACTGTCACTGGGGTTTATGGCATTTATGACTGTTCCCTCACCATATAGGAAAAAAAAAAGATCGCTCCCCAGATGTAGATCTACATTTTGCTTCGTTTCGCGCGGACATTTGACGGCGTGTACAGACACGCGGAATCACTCGGACTTTAATGGCGTAGACATACATGCATACACGCGGATACACGCAGATAGCTCAAAATGCGTAGAGATAACGAGTCAAGTGGCGTGTATGTTTACGCAAAAGTCATGATGTCATGGTGGAATATCAGTGAAAAAACGCCAGCGTTTTTCAACGCGTTTTTTGTGTTCACACCCAAGCGATTTTTGCTGACGATGAGCCGAGTGAACATGCAAATTCATTCCCTAACATTAGATGGCGCCCATTTGCTCTGTAATACCACTCCATACAGTTCTCTTTTATCAAGATGTTTGTAGTCGCAGTCGCGTTTGTCATACAGTTCTATAGTTCTAACACCAACGAAACCAGCAGCTCTACATTCATCTTGCATCTTTCTCGTCTTATTTCTTCCTGGCTGTGTAGACGGTCGGCGAGGCATACATCTTCTTCGCCGTTACTTATGTGTACTTGGCAGGACCGTTTTGTGTTTGAGCGCCCCCAAGTTGTGTTTTATCGTAACTTCAGAAGCTCCAAACACTGAGCAAAAGCGCCAATCTCATTGGTCGGATAGTTTTTGACGCTGCGCGAAATTTAAAAAAAAAAATTTATTTGAAAAATTACGCTTTTACGCATGGCGTTTTACGTGTCGGTGTGCACACTCACATTGGCGCCCTTTGTTTAGTCACGACACGAGGCGTTAAATGTCGGTGAATATCGCACGCCAAATTTGTCCTGGTGTGAACAGGCCTTAAGGTTGTAATATGTGTATATACTACAGTAGATTTTACGTTTTAGAGTCCATGCATATCTAGAAAACCTTGGACGTTTCAGGCGTGAATGATATAATGCTTTTATGTGAAGGTGAATTGTCAGAGGTAATATTGTATTCATTAATATGTTTGTAGATTAACACTCAAGTGGAGGTGTTTGAGGAGGTGAACCTGACCAAAGAGATCACTGGAGGAGTAATAGGAGGACTGTTGCTACTCGCTCTCATCACAGCTGCTCTCTATAAGGTGTGTGTGTGTGTGTATGCTCAACTTTAAACCTTTCATTTTCAGCTTTACAACTTGAGTTTAATTTTTCAAAGTTGTGTAATGCATATACATGCCTTAATTATCATTTCCTTTCAGGGTGGATTCTTTAAAAGCCAGTACAAGGAGTTGATTGAAAACGCAGAACAAAGTGCTGAAGGGGAGCCAACCACTGAAAAATTAGGTTAACATTACTAAACAACAACTCTAGATCAATCACAATAGTGGTGTATTAATGTTCACAGACCAAATAGTTTATGCTTTTTTTTTTCTTTTTTTTTTAAAGTCTACATTTCACTTTGCTGCCACCTGTTGATCAAATTTTAGAGCATGAAACGGAGGTTCCAGCTGTTTGTTGTTTTCATACTGTATGAAAGTAAAATGAATATATTTTGTTTGAAAACATTTCAAAATAGTATTGATGTTTTAGTGTTTCGCTAGAAAATAGTCTATTTTGAGCAGCCATGAGTTATAAGTTTCAAATGAATTAAATTTAAGGGATAGTTCACTTTGAAATTAATTTTTGGTATGTTTTAGCTTACCTCAAGGGCATCCAAGATGAAGGTGTCGTTGTTTACACATTACTTTCAATTTTGATATTTTTAGGTCAAACCGTTCTTGTCTGTCAGATCTATGGTCACCACCTCAAAGAGCATGCACAGAGAAGTCCAAATTAAACCTGATTTAATGACTCGTAAATGTAAGTACACATTGATGGCCTAAGACACGAAACGAGCGGTTTGTGTGAGAAAACGAACCGTATTTATATCGTTTTTACCTCTTGTAGCCACAGCCACAAAACGCCCGCACCCTCAGATCACTTGGACGTGGCTGTGGTTACAAGAGGTAAAAACGATATAAATACTGTTCATTTTCTCACACAAACCGCTCGTTTCGTGTCTCAGGCCATCAATGTGTACTTACATTTACGAGTCATTAAATCATATTTAATTTAGACTTCTCTGTGCATGCTCTTTGAGGTGGTGACCATAGACCTCCATTATATGACTGACAGACAAGAACTGTTTGACCTAAAAATATCAAAATTTTAACTACTGCGGAAACAAAGACACCTACATCTTGGATGCCCTTGAGCTAAGCTAAAACATACCAAAAATTTATTTCAAAGTAAACTATCGCTTTAAATCCAAAACTCACTTGGATACTGGTTATTCTCATAATATGCTCATATAGATTTCATTTTATGACATATTCAAATAAAATTTCTCATGAATATTGATAAAAAAATGTATATTTTGTTTGTCATGTTGTTCTTGAAAAATGTTAAATTTCAAAGAATCTAATTAATTTAAAAAAAAAAAGTTGGTAAATGGAGTAATAGCATGGTAAAAACATGGTAACAGTCAAACCGTTTGTGCATTTGCTCATTAATGAGAAGTTACTGATTAGAAATTAAATGGGTTTAGTTGAAAATGCTTTTTTAGAAGCTACGTTTGTACGGCTGGAATCTTACGCGGCTATTTTAAACCAATAATCGGAAAAAAATGGCAGCTGAAGGATGACGTGTATAATTCAAATGTTTATCTAACCACAATATAATTAATCTTACTCCATTAAAGATGTTGTTATTTTTTTAACCTTTTATTCGTTAAAGGTAAAGGTCTTTCTTAACTGATTGGAAAGCGTATTTAACCCGAACGTTTAGGTAACGAAAGTTAACATCATCAGTGATAAAAGGAAAGATTCTCAAAGCCTTTAAAGCAGGCAAAGTTATATATTAAGAAACATGTTTAAATATACCGACAGTAGAATGAAACAACACACTATATAGAAACCTTAGTAATAGAAATATATATAATGCACTGTTGTGCAGAAGAGGCCATAAAAGCCATTCTCGTAGTATGAGGTTATGCACCGGTGTGCGGGAGTATAGCATGGTTAAAGCCTTTCTCCTAGATCAACAGTTACCTTTCCTTCTTATGCCCTGAGAAAGCCACTGTAATGAGTTGACTGTACTAAAATGGCCCCCACAGTCACCAGATCTCAACCCAATAGAGCATCTTTGGGATGTGGTGGAATGAATGGATGTGCATCCCACAAATCTCCATCAACTGCAAGATGCTATCCTATCAATATGGGCCAACATTTCTGAATGCTTTCAGCACCTTGTTGAATCAGTGCCACGTAGAATTAAGGCGGTTCTGAAGGCGAAAGGGGTCAAACACAGTATTAATATGGCGTTCCTAATAATCCTTTAGGCGAGTTTAAATAAAGGTGAATTGACTTGAGGATTGGATCTGAACTCTGCAGGTAGGTCTCCAGGAACAGGATTGGGCATTGCATGCAAATATTATTGATATTCTTGTACGATGATCATGCGTTTTCTATTATACAAATTCTGTCTCTTTAGAGTCTTTAGAGTCGGCTGTGGTTGGGTTTTTGTTTTACGGGTTTAGAGGAAAATCACATGTTTGGGCACAAGTCTCAGTAGGAACATCGACATCCCAGGAAGTGTGAGGGGAACTATTTGAAATGAGAAGTGAAAGCAGAGCAAGTCAGCAACTTCACTCAAAAGCCAGACAGCCTGCGTTGTGTTGAGCAGTGCTCGAAGTGGGGCGGTACTCACCGGTACGCATGTACCGGCACTTCTACATTTTACTCTTAAGCGTACCTGCACTTTTTCTTGCGTACCGCTACTTCTCGCATGTAGCCGGTACTCTATACCACTGACAGAAAAAGCGTGACGGCCGTTTAACCCCTTATTTACTGCACACATCTGCGGTGCGTTATGGCTGCGAAACGGCAAATCTCATTAGAAAACTTGTTAAATGAATGGCTATCCAACAGTAAAAGAATCCAAAATGTATTTTACATTTCTTTATTTTTTGGCAATTATTATATGAATATTATACATATTTCAAAACTTCTGAGATCTTCCTCATGATCTGAGTCTAAGAAAGTTTTTTCAAAAAAAAGAAATAAAGCCTGTTATACCACCATAACCAATGAAGTTATTATTTCTAAAATGTATTACACATTCTTGTTGTACATACCCTTGTTGTAAAAAAAAAAAAAAAAAAAAAAAAACATAGGATACAGAAGGAAGTCAGTTTGACATTACAACACTTTCTTAAATATATAATATATAATAAACATAAACAATAGGAAAATTGATTGGGAAAAATGTTATGGTAAGTAGCTACATCAATATCCAGTAAAAAATATATATTTTTGTGATTTGTGAAACACAACATGTATCCATTTACAATTTTATTATTACTATTTAGAACTATTTAAATTGAGGAATAATTAAAAAATGTAAGATTATCAGTGTAAGTGTAATTGAGTGTCAGTGAGCACAAACGCCATTTACATTATCATCAATTTGTTGTCTATTTTTGTACGTTTGGAGTTGATATGATACAGTAATTTTGAGAAATAATTAGACTTTAAAATAACTGCTTTCTATTTTTGTCTTTTAAAATGTAATTTATTCCTGTGACACAGAGCTATTTGTGACACAGAGCAATTTATTTGAACAGTGTCTTTACTATTAGTTTTGATGCCTTGCTTAATAAAATGTAATTTCTCTCTCTAAAAAAAGAAGAAGAGTAGTTTACACATAAAACAAGAAGGGCATTGCATTAAGCAACAGAAAATATGATAGCAAAGAATTTTGTGGAAGAGATGTTGCAGAAGATGGGATTTTAGGTTCAGGTCCTATTGATGAGGAAAGAGGAAGAGGAGGAAGACCAGGGCAGGTGTAACTGTTGTCAGAATCTGTTCCAGTGGAGGTGAACTGCACAAAACCTGGAGGATCGCTGCACATAAAGGAGGAGATCCATTCCTGATAGCGGGATACTCTGGTGTAAACACCGGGATATTCAGGTCGAGCACAGCCAATCCCAAAGCTGACGACACCGGACTGGACCCATACAGAGCTCTGCCTGCTCACCATCGGACCTCCTGAATCCCCCTGAAAATACAAATCAATGCAATCATTGTAGAAAGAGACATACACGGCTGGTCAAGCGTTTGGGGTCAGTAAGTGATGCATTTAAAGAAATTATTTCGATTTCAAATAAATGTGTTTCAATTCATCAAAGAATCTTTAAAAAATGTGTCATGTATCATGTAAAATGTATAAAATATATGGCAGACAGCTCTATTTTCTTCTGGTTTTGTCCAGAACTGTTTCATCTTCGTTTAATTAACTATGAATACTTAAATAATATTCCGTAAAACTTCAAATAATAGCCCGGGCTTTTATTTTCCCAAATCGACAGGCCTTTATAATTTTGTGTTGAGGTGTTGTTCATTGAGTGTAGGCCAAGCTGCAACATTCTAATCTAAAAAACAAAGCAAAAAATAAATGCGAAAAACTGCAAATACATTGAAAACCCGGTAGGGGTAGGTCCCAAAAGGGAGCAAATGTCCATAGACCCCGTCTGTTTTCAGGTTCTGAGTGCATGACAACTGTGAGGGGAATAATTTTTTGTTTAACTCGTTAGTTTAGATCATATTTAGATATAAAATGTATGACAAATAAGGGTGTGGTTAACTTTGATTGACAGCTTGATTGACAGCTGATAACGGGCTGCGCCAAGTGGAATTCCTGAAATTTGACGACTCGGCCACGATCTGACACAACACATCATAGCACCTCTGTATACTTTCTGAAGATTTGTATTGAAATTTCATACATAAAATGGGTTGCTCTGCTATAAACTGCACTAACCAACACTGTGGGAGGACTTTGCTCCATTTTTCCGGTAAGTGACTTTCCACAACTATTTCACGTAGTTAGCACTTAGCGTCAATGTTTGTGGGCAGTGGCACTGCAACAGTTTTTCAGTGACTGTAGTAGCCATGGACTGTAAAAAGCAGCCTAGTCTGCTGGTCGATCTTGTACCGTTACAGATAGCTGAGGCTCCTTGGCTGTCCACCGGCCGGCTCAGTCTCACACAAAGCCTGCCCTTTTACCCATACTCTATATGAATTGGCCAGAAGGTGGGCGGGGTTAGGAATTCTGAAGAATTTCAAAAGATGGCGCCGCCCATACCACCCATAAACGGCCTCAAGACGCTTTGTCCATTTCTTTTCTACAGTCTATGGTGTAGGCCTAGAGTCTCTAATCTAAAATCTCCAAATGCACTGGGTGAAACTGCGGTTTTACAATCGTGTCAATTGATTTTGATTAGTAGGGCTATTATTGGAAGTTTTACGGTATGTATTTTGCAAAGATGTAAGATAATAATTAAAAAAATCTCTAAATATCTTTCCAAGATGGCATGAACATCACATCTTCAGAAAGCCTAGTTCCCCTTCAGTCGGTCACTCTGACGTCACGCCGGTGACCGATAAATCAGAATCTCACAAGATAGGCCAATCAATGGGCTTTATGCACAGCTGCACTACTTCCTGAACTTCAGCCAGCTCCTTGTTTCCTGTCTGCAGTTATTGGCCAAATTGATTAATCCAGGTGTGCCTGACCTCAGTTGTCATGGCAACAATAATCAGACACACCTGAATTAATCAATTTGGCCAATAATGGCAGACAGGAAACAAGAAGCTGGCTGAAGTTCAGGAAGTAGTGCAGCTGGGCATAAAGACAATTTAGAGTGTAACTAAATGAGCCAATGCAATAATTGCATCGCTGCACGCGCATATGAGCAGCAGGTGTATCGCATCTTCAGCTTTTCGCTTAGGAGCCGAGCGGTTCATTTGTCCAGTCTCTAATTTCATTTGTCATCTCGCTGACTCATCCGGACCATTAGGCTCGGCTATGCATTTCAGTTTGCCCAGAGTCCCCCCAAGTTTCGGGCCATCCACTCTACTTCAGTGAGAGCAGCCAATGGCCATGTCTTGCGGGCCTACTGGCGAATGACACGATAGAGCTGGTCCCTTCGGACGATATGAGGTCAGGGTTTTACAGCCCCTACTTCATTGAACCCAAGAAAAGCAGTGGGTTATGACCGATCTTGGATCTGCGAGGATCTGCGAGTCTTCACAAACTACTGTTCAAAATGGTCAGGCAGAAACACTTTTTCGGATGCATCCATCCCCGAAATTGGTTTCGAAAGCGAAAGTGATCAACCTGAAGTACACGACCATGAAAGACTTGTACTTTCATGTCTCGACTCCCCCTTAACACAGGCTGTTTCTGCACTTCTGCGTTCGAGGGTTGAGCATATTACTACAAGGTCCTGCCCTTCGGAATCTCCCAGGGTTTGTTTTAAGAGACTAATTGAACTGAACGGGGTTTGTGTACCTGACATGAGTCCTTGCCTCCTTCCAATAGACCAGCACAGATCATGTTTTCTGTTATATTTCCAACTCCATAGAGACAGTTGCACTGTCTATTACCAATTATAGGAACCTTCACTTCCTGTAGAACATTAGGGGACGGGAGGGACACTGTAGGAAAGACATGAGAATCCTGTTACTCTATCCTGTTTCGAATGGGTTTGTGAAAGGCGTTTCATGTTGAGTTTAATATAAGTAAGAAGTGAAATAGTAATGAATTCTCACCTCCTTCACTAATGTCTCCCCATCCAGTGATCCAGCTGTCTGTCCCTTTGTTAAACACACTGTGATTAGCTGCTAGACACACGGGTCTGATGTAGTCAGTGAAGTTGACAGGAGAGCTCAGTTTGAGCAGAGCGATATCGTTGTCATTCGTAAGATAGTTGTAACTGGGATGTTTGATGATTGTCCTCACATTTCTAAACACTTCATTGGGGTTGAAGTTTCTCTGGATCTGACGCCCCAAAACCACGTTTAAAGAAAAGATGGAATAACTGAGGAGGTTAAAGAAATAGAAAGAGTTTTGACAAAAACACTTTACAATAACAGGGCGTGAATATTGATGTACTTACACCTGAATTAATAGGTACTTCAACATTATCTCATGATTAGTGAATATATGAACTAATCATGAACCAATGAAGAGCAACCCTTAACTACAACAGGAGTCACACTGATTCATGCATGAATAACAGCAGCCTTAAACATGTTTGTACATGTTTGATGGTTATTGCATTAATTAACGTTTAGGGGTAAACTAAATCAATCAGTTTTCGTAAGAATAAATAAGTGATCTAAATTTGAATTAAACATATAATTTAATACTGCCATAATTTAAAGTGTAAAATCATAATCTACTATCTGCAGCTTTGTGACAAATAATTGACCTATGGCTAAGCCACGCCCCCAAACGCGGGGAAATACGACAAATCTCGTCTCTCGTGCATCTGTTCATCCGACAACTGCTATGTTTTTATCTCTGGACAACATCTCAACTTTGCGTTACACATGTCCTGTTTCCACGTCCTGTCCTGGCTGTTTTTAAGTGATGAAAATGTCCTGGTTTTCAAAAAAAAAACTGCTGGGAAAGATCAGTTCTACAGCAAAATATAGATGGGCAAACAAGGTGGATGAGGAAGAAAAACTGGATAAAGAGGATGAAAACTAAAGATATAAATAGATTTTGTTAGTTCGTTTTTGTAAGTTTGTGAGAGCTATGTTTTGTTAGTTATTTATTATTTATATATTTATTTTTCTAATACAGAAGACATTATTTCTATCATTATTTCATTCGTTTTTTTTATCTGTCACAATAAAACATTGAGACATGAATATGATCACCCTAGTATAGTATTCTATTATTATTTCTGTTTTACATTCAGCGCCATCTAATGTCAGGGAATGAATTTGCATGTTCACTCGGCTCATCGTCAGCGAAAAACGCTAGGGTGTGAACACAAAAAACGCGTTGAAAAAGCTGACGAATAACGCACACTGATATTCGTCCCGGTGTGTACGGGCCTTTAACCTTATATTTGAGCCACTGTAGTCACATGGAATAATTAAACATTTTCTTCAGTGACTTTCTGGGCCGTCAAGTTTCAATCCCTTAGGCAGCCAATGTAGTAGTGATCCACCTCTCAAATTTAATCAAAAATATCTTGTGTTCCGAAAACAAATGAAGGTCTTACGGGGTTGGTACAGCATGGGGGTGAGTAATTAATGACTTAAATAAAATTTTTGGGTGAACTAACCCTTTAAGACCTCTTTTAAGGGTTAAGATGCTTTCTGAATGACTTTTTTCTTTACTAGGATTTTTTTGTCTTTAATTTTAACAGTAACAGCCCACATTTCTAAGAATTTTCTTAGAATTTTGACACTAGGAGCGACTCTTTGCATTAAGATTCTTTATGAATACGGGCCCTGGTCTCATACACACACACACACACACTTACACTTACATGCGCTTTCATTCATACTCAGCTGTTCCTCATTCATCTCCCTATGCAATCAGAATCTTCTTTTCCACACCTATCCTCTCTTTCTTTCTGATTAGCATCTCTACTTTTTTCCCTTCTTTCCCTTGTCCTCTGCCAGATTATCAACTTTGAACACGTTTGTGATCGATCACTCTTTCACCAAGTCTTGTCCCGGCCATCCTGACTGGTCTTCATTACCTACTTGTCTACCTTCTTCATTTGTGTGTTTGTGCTAAACCTGTGCTCTGTCCAGGGAGTACACCTGTCTCCGGCTTGCCTTCGCTGTTCTCATCTACGGACCTGTTTTACCCGGTCTCGGGTCATCTCCTGCTTTAGTTCCTTATTTATGAGAGACGTTCTGTTTGCCAGCTTATGCGGCCAATTGCCTAATTTCTATTGAAGACATTATAACCTGCTTTCGCTTTTGGGTCTTCTCTCTCAGCTCTTAAATCAATTAAAATGTAATCTACTTAAAACATCCATGAAATCTTAAGTATTTAGTTGAATGAGTTTACCTGTCAACACAGTGGGCAGCGGTCAGCACCCACTCTTTGTTAATGAGAGAACCTCCACAGAAGTGTCTGCCATACATAAGAAGGCTAGCCTGCCATGGCCAGTGTCCAGCTGAAGCGTTCTGACCTCCTACTATCCTGCTGCTGGGGCTAAGTGTGGTTCTCCCACACACCTGAGCACTGGGAGGATCATCTGAGGCTGCAAACACAAAAAAACCCACAATGTTTTACCTAAGAACTTCAAGCAGTACATCTGCAGATAGCATCATGCAACATGACCATGGAAAAACATGATCAAATTATCCAAATAAAAAAAAAGCAATGAAAAGGTTATCATTTCAAAAACTGAGAAAATATTATTAATTCCCAAGCTTGTTTTGCTGTATTCAAGCAGCCAAGAAAAATGTACTTTCACATAAGTCTGAGAGACTTCAATGTGAATCTATAATAAAATATATAAAAAATAAAATAAAAATGTATAGGTATATTAAGTGATAAGTTCTTTTTTTTACATAAAGACCAATAAAAACTTTTGTAATAATAATCATGTAAATTCAAAAGATTCAAAACAGCGAATCTCATCAAAAGGTGACGAGTTGTCAACACTGATATATATTTCACTTTTTACTAAAAATATTATTTGTTGTTTTGGAAGTTGCATTCAAAAATTTGAGGGGACATGCGTCAGATTGTCTGCAATGTTTTTTTTTTTTTTTTAAATCTATTTTTAATCTAGTAACTAAACTGTTGATGTAAATTAATGTACCTTGAGGGTTAGTTCTGTCACAAAATCCTGTAAACCAGAACAAAAGCAGATGTTACATACACATATAAGACTTACAACTTACACTATTTAAAGAAACAAACAAATGCTTGTTTTGAGACAACAATTATAAATGGTACATTTCATTAATATACATATACCATTTCTTTCTGACGAATTGTCGACACGAAATACCCATCTACCAGTGACGTTGACATTGCTTGTGTACGGCAGGTTTGTGATGTCAGAAACAGGAATTGAAAAGAAATTAGTAGAGTAATTTGTGTCATAGCCGGACTGTTAATAAAGAAAACACAAAGACAAAAAAATCTATTAAATTCAAAAACATTTCACAAAGCAAAAGATCATGAACTTTTGACACATTTTCCACACTGCTTTACCTCGGCAGCATAGGTGGAGGTGATATAATCATAATGCATGAGTGTAAATGACAGGTTTTTTCCAGACACCAAAACCACCTGGAAGGTCGACTCCTGGGAAAGAGACCAGAAGTTCCTCATTAATACAAGCATCACTCTGAATATGCTGAAAAATTCAGTTCAAGGAAGATGCTACGCAATAAATGTGCACGATAAATACAAGAAAATCTTACTGCCTCTCTGTCTCCATAGTACGGTACTTTATCCCACGTTGCAATGAAAACCCATGAGGCAGAGAAGTTTAAGTTGGGGTAATATTGGTTAATGTCTCTAGAAGCCCGATTCAAGACATGACCATCTGTTACTTGTCGATAAGAGATGGTTCCTTTCTCACTATTATAAATGTCTGTCCACAGAGGAGCGATGATGTCTCTAGTCGAGTATGCAGGAAAATAATAGGGATTCCACTGGTAAAGTGGTTGATCGAAGGTCAGGTCTCCGTTATTGTTCACCTGTAGGATCAAAATGTGTTATCTGGATTTTTGAGTAACATCATCTATGTGGAATATTTATTAATGAAAGGCAGTGTTGTAGTACTCGAGACTCGGACTCGTCTCGGTCTCGAGACCATATTTTAATGGTCTTGGTCTTGTCATGGACTCGTGTCCATTTGGACTCGGAATTGACTCGTACTCGAACATTTTTTTTTTTAGGACTCTGATTTATTTCCGAGTCCACTCGAGTTCAATTAAAAATATTTATCATGATTATTAATGTATGTTAATAAAATATTTCTTTAAATTGATTGACACGCCCAGTGATTGGTGATTTTCTAGTGCGCAACTGCGCATAACAAATTGTAATAAAATTACTTTTAACACCACCTACTATGTGGCCTTTTTACCCTAAACTGATCATATTTTTTAAACTTTAAGTAAATTCAGTAAAAAAAAAAAAAAAAAAAAAAAAAAAAGGATTTCTCTAAGTAAATAAAAGTAAATTAGGTGATCAACCCTCACTGGTCTCGGTCTCGACTCGGACTCGACCGTCTCTGGTCTCGGACTCGACTCTCTATGGACTCGGTCTTGACTCGGACTCGACTCTCTCTGGTCTCGGTGTCGACTCGGACTCGAGTGAGGTGGTCTCGACTACAACACTGATGAATGTCATTAATGAATGCTCCTTACAAATATTTTGTCATATACATGGCCAAAGTACACAAATGGCTGCCGCAAGGGGATCGGTGGAGAACTTCCATCATCCGACGGTGGGTTTTTCTCATCCTCTTCATCTCCATATGGGTAGAATATTCCTAATATTCCCAATAGTATCATAATGAGTGTTTTAAAGGAAGAAGGACCATTTATAATGCCTCCATTTTTCATTCTTATGTTACGTTTTCATATCATATTCTTTCTATTAAACAGTGACGTTACCCTCCTCAGGCCCGCCATCAACACGGAATACCCAGCGTCCCGGGACATCGACATTGCTGGAGTTGGACAGCTTATTTTCATCAGTCACAGGGATTGAAAAATAATTTGTTGAGTTTATCGTGTCAAAGCCAGCCTGAGTAAAAAATAAATAAATAAGAATAATGAAAGATGATGAATTGCCCAGTCGACCAAAACATTTATTTAATATACCATTATTATTATCTGAGATTTCATTTGTAACAGGATTCTTATTCTGTCCAACCTGAAAACTTTGATCAGTTGAGGAGATATTTCCGTAGTTCATTATGACAAAGGAAAGACTCCTGCAAATTACTAGAATGACTTGGAAGGAGGATTCCTTCAGATAAAAAAAAAAAAAAAATGGTTTCAATGAGAAAACACATATACATTGTCTACAACAAAACTCATTCAACAAAAATGTATGCAATCCTTTTAAAACTAAACTATTACCGTAACCATTCAATCTACAAACCGTCAAGGTGTTGTTCAAGTATGGCACTCTCTCCCAAGTAGCAATGAAGACTGCATTTACTGAGAACCCAAACAGAGGGAAATACTGTTTGAGATCATTTCTCGCCCGGTCCAGAATACGGCTTTGAGTTACCAAGCGATAGGAGATATTTCCATTGACCCTACAGTCAAACATCGCCCAGAGTGGAGCTATAATGTCTCTAGTAGAGTTGCCAGGGAAAGCATTGGGGACTCTTTCATAAGATGGTCCATCAAATGTCAAATGTCCATTATTGTTGACCTATAGTGAGAAATTGAGAATTTGACTCAAGCAATATGACTTGCAATACATCAATACTTAAACTGTAATGTGTTTAACAAAACATCTCACATATATGTTGTGGTATCTGCGCCCAAAGTACAAGAAAGGATACTGCAAGTGCACAGTTGGTGAGGTTGCATTACTTTGACAGGGATTCTGGGAGACTGGAGAGCCAGTTGGATAAAACAAACCTGGGAAAAAAACAGGTCATCACATGTTATGGATTTGGTACAGAATATGCAAAGATTAAAAGATAAGTTCAGGAGAAGAGAAAACAATTATTACCAAGATTTCCTGGCAAAGAGTCGACACGAAAAGCCCAACGGCCCGGAACATTGACATTTGTGGAGTCGGTCAGGTCAGTGATGTTAGACACAGGAATTGTGTAATAACTGGTTGAACCAATAGTGTCATATCCAGCCTAAATAATGATTACAAACATGATTATCTGCGGATAAGAGGAACTTTAGCTAATTCTACAAGGAAAAAAAATCTCACATTACAGTAAAACTGTAAAATTCTATTGTGTCTCTACAAATATATTTGAACTGTCCAGAATACTGCAAAAGTTATTACATTTTAAAATAAAAAATAGTTTTTAAAATTAATTTTAAAATTTAAAATAGTTGAAAAGCGTTCTCACCACTCCAATATTACGATTAGTTTGTTGAATACTGCCATAATTAAATATAATAAATGACAACCCAGAACCTAAGATCAGCAGTACTTGAAAAGAGGAATTCTGGAAAACAACAACAACAAAATCAAATGATCATCACAGTCACGACTCACGAGAAAACTGATAATGAAAACCGATCTTACCTGTGCTGAAGTGTTACGATATCTCACATTATCCCAAGTACAAGCAAAAACAGAGTCTGCAGTGAAATTAGTTTGAGGAAAATATTGACGGATATCATTTGTGGCTCGCTGTAGTACTCGGGCACTACTGAATTCCTCAATGTATAACTCACTGCTGTCAAAATCTGTCCATAGTGGAGCAACAATGTCTATGTCTGTGTAAGCTGGAAGAGTTCGGGGACTTGATGGAAACAACTGCCGATTCAAAGTAAGCAATCCATTTTTGTACACCTTTAATGGGGTTGAAGTAACAATAATAAAACATACAAAAGCTTTTAGAAGCTAGAATAAGTGATTATGGTTAAAATACAGTAGCATTAATGAGTGTCCTCACATAAACGTCGCTGTAAGTGCGCCCGAGGAAAGAAAATGTTGTTTGCAAATTAAAATTGACTGGAAATCCAAATAATCTAAATCCATAATCCTGTTGAAGATGGTGCCCATTCCTGAAGGGATAGAGCAGACCTGAAAGCAAACAGGTTTATTTTTCAGAAAAGCATTTCAATTTATTTGTAACTTTGTTTCAACAGTATGACCAATGAATTGTTCGAATGTTTCGAATAATAAACAGCTATTAAACTTGATATGCAATAAATGCATTGTATTTTTAATTATTAAATTACTGTACCATTGTTTACTGATGTATTGTAAGTTGGAAATACCCATCGACCCATCACGTTGACATTGCTAGTGTATGACAGGTTTGTGACGTGAGAAACGGGAATTGTGAAGAAATCAGTTGAATAACTTGTGTCATATCCAGACTGTCAATTAAAGAACAAGATGAAAAGTTCAGTGACAAGCAAACACTTAAAATGACATTTTGATTTCAGTGTCTTTTTCAAATTGCTTTACCTTAACAGAATATAAGCCTGGGGAAATATGACCATAATGCATGAGTGTGAATGACATGTTTTTGCCAGACACCAAAACCACTTGAAAGGTCGACTCCTGAAAGATAAAGGGAATTACTACATAAATACAGAGAGCATGAGATACTGTTTCTTCATAACAAACTTCTGTCATATTGGTACAATTGAACAAAACAGACTATTAACTAATCAAACTTACTATCCGCCTGTATCCATAGTACGGTACTTTATCCCATGTAGCAATAAAAACCCATGTGGCAGAGAAGTTTAAGTTGGGGTAATATTGGTTTACGTCTCTTGAAGCCCGATTCAAGACATGACCATCTGTTACTTGTCGATAAGAGATGCTTCCTTTGCGTGTAATGTCAATGTCTGTCCACAGAGGAGCGATGATGTCTCTAGTCGAGTATGCAGGAAAATCATACGGATACCACTGGTAAAACTGTTCTTCAAAAGTCAAGTATCCTTTGTTATTCACCTGTTTTGAGACCAGTAAAAGCTCAGTCGTCGGGACTTTCAAGTAACATTCTTAATGTGGAATATAAAGCTATTTGTGTTGTTTCAATAAAACTAAGATATGTTCTGAATGTGACGAAGCTGCTTACAAATAGTTGATTATAAACAAGCCCAAAGTAGACAAATGGCTGATCTAGGGTGATCAGTGGAGAACTTCCGAAATCCTCCGCAGGGTTCTTTGTATCCTCGTCTCCATATGGGTAAAAGATTCCTGCAATTGAAAAAAAGAAACATCCTAATATTAAATTGTAGATTATTTAGTGGTTTTAAAGGTTGAGTGTTTTAACAAAGCCCTAAATTAATATTGTACAAAATGTTTCATGGATCAAATGTATCATTTTATGCGTGGTTTTCCAACATCTTACAGTGGCTTTAAATGTATACTTTTTACACTGGTCGCCAACATTTTCTACTTCTTTTGTAAGTTGGGTTGGTCGGGTCTGATTTGATCAAATGTAGTAAATGGTTTCAAAAAAACTCATTGAACATTGCACAGGATTACCCTCTTCAGGTCCACCATCAACACGAAATGCCCAGCGTCCCGGGACATTGACATTGCTGGAGTTGGACAGAATATTTTCATCCGGCACAGGGATTGAGGAATAATTTGTTGAGTCTGTTGTGCCATAGCCAGCCTGAGTAGAAAAATCAATCATCATCAAAAAAGCTTTGTGGTGCAGAGCTCTCTAATATTATCTTAGAGTTCAGAGATACGGTTCTAACTTTTTCTAACCTGAAACCATTGATCTGTAGAGGAGATATTCCCGTAGTTCATCATGACAAAAGACAGAGAGCCACCAGAGACCAAAACAACTTGAAAAGATGAACTCTGTTAAAGAAACCGAAAATTATTCTAATAGCTCATTGACAAAGATAAATTTGGTCTATGTTTGATTAATTCTGCAATGACTTAAATAAAAGCAATTTATCTTCCCATTTATGTGCTTTAATAATCATAAACAGTTTTCTTCTTGTTTTTTCAATCCAAATTATGGGTAGCGACATTCATTCATACATTATTTATCAAGATTGACAGGCAAATAAAGGTTAATTGTCTATTGTGAGTATAGCAATGTACTGTATAAAGTAGTGTTCACGCAGAAGTCAATTTCAAACCAACATCACATCGAATTTGCATGACCAACTTCAAATTGAGCAAAATCGGTTTACATCAGAGGGTTTCCTGTTGACTAGAATTTGCCAGTGAAAATTCTCAGAGCAACGGTTAAAGGGTTAGTTCACCCAAAAATGAAAATTAAGTCATTAATTACTCACCCCCATGCTGTACCAACCCCGTAAGACCTTCGTTCATCTTCGGAACACAAATTTTAGATATTTTTGATTAAATTTGAGAGCTGTATAACTTCCATACGATTTCCACGACGCATGCGCGAGAACTGAACTGAAGTAGTGTAAGGAGATCGCAATTCTCGCGCATGCGTCGTGGAAATCTAAGGAAGTCTTGTTTCAGGCCAACAAGGAAGAAATAGTCGAATAAAAACGTCATTTTTGTTTTTTTTTTCGCACAAAAAGTATTCGCGTCGCTTGATAAACTTATAGTTGAGCCGCTGTTGTCACATGGAATATTTCAACATTTTCTTCATTGACTTTCTGGGCCGTCAAGAGCCAGTCCCGGGAAGTCTATGTGGTAGTTATACAGCTCTCAAATGTAATCAAAAATATCTTCATTTGTGTTCCGAAGACGAACGAAGGTCTTACGGGGTTGGTACAGCATGGGGGTGAGTAATTAATGACTTAATTTTCATTTTTGGGTGAACTAACCCTTTAACATGACAGCACCTTTACTCTGTCAGTTTAACAACTATAGTTAAAGTTTATTTTAGTAAATTGGAGCAATTTCGATGATGTTGATGGCCAAGGGTTTACCTGCATTCTTAGAGAAATAAAAACATGTAAAGAGTAAATGAACTTTCATTTTCAAATCAATTAAAGACATATGTCATCTGCTTGTTTGTTTAGAGACACCAAAAGATATTGAAATTAAACATGTCAATATATCCCATCAAATTACTTGCTTAAATGCTTGAAAAAAAGAGATAGGCTGGCTTACCGATCGTGAGTTGTTAAAGTATGGTACCTCATCCCAAGTGGCAATGAGCAGCCATGAGGCAGTGAAGTTCAGACTGGGAAAATACTGGTTTATGTTGTTCGAGGCTGCTAGTAAGAGTCCGCCTCTGGTGACCTGACGATAGGAGATGCTTCCAGTGACACTGTTGTCCATGTTTGTCCACAGTGGAGCAATGATGTCTCTGTTGACTTGTGACTGTAAATAATCTGAGAGAGGCCCATCGAATGTCAAATGCCCATTGTTATTAACCTGAAGCAGATATAAAACAATATTATAAAGAGATTTGGCAGTATAAAACAGACACCGAAACTCTTTAAAAGCCAAGGTTTTTTTTTTCTTTCACAAATGTACAGTGCATGATCTGTTTTATTTTACTTTTTTTTTTTTTAAATGAGGTTTGCAATTGTATAACTTGGGACATGTATAAAATGCAATTTAAAACGCAGTTTTTACTAAAAATATATATAACATAAAAAAATTAATACAAAAAGATAACACTGGGAAAGAATGAATGGTTCAGTTTAAATGATTCCTCAAAAGTTTTTCTTGACGATTTTGACAATAGCTCTGTTCTTTTGTTTTGTTTTGGGTATGGAGTGAAGTCAAACTACCTTATAATTGCACTTACACTCATGTACAGTACAGTACGTACGCTCATACATAAAACAGAATTTATGAAGACAATGTTCTTACATAAGTCTGTTGATAAACACGTCCAAAATATACAAAGGGGTTTTCCAAGAATATTACAGGAGAGCTTCCATCATCTTGAGAGGGATTAATGTCTCCATCTTCAAATGGGTAGAAAAGGCCTGAAACTAAAAAAAATGGGGGAGGGGGGTTTGGGGGGTGTAATAATCTCCAACAGAATTCCATGAGTATGATATAGAAATGTAATGTCACATTTTGTTAAAATGGCAAGAACTCGCTGGAATTGGCACTTTCTGTCAGTTAACTGGTTCCTACACATTTTCAGCTGGGGCACAGGTGCACTAGTGCACAGGTCTAATCAGTCTGCCAGGAAACAATGTGCTTGGAAAAAAATACTTGGCTGATAAAACGAAATACTAAGAAAATAAATAAGATATTTTTAATTGCACCTTTTTTTAGTTTACCTGCTCCTAAATAAATGTGCAGAAATAAACATTACCCAAGTTGAATAAATGGTGTAAACTTATTGTTATTGCAACATTTACTTATGAACAGAACCTTGTTTTTATTCTTACCTGTCTCTTCTCCATAGCACAGGAAGCTGCTGTCCTTATCTTTACCATCAGATTTAAAAGTCACAAATCCAATGTCTGGTCCATTAACATTTTCCAAGATCCAGTTTTGGAATTCAGATACTCTAGTATAACCGTCAGGTGCAAGATCAATGAAGCAAGAAATCCCCAGATTAGTTACACCAGCTAAGATCCATACAGAACCCTGCTTACACTGTAATCCACCACCATAATATCCCTAAAAAAAGAAAGAGAGAAACTTGAATTCATATTATTAAAATATTCATTTTATAATGGAACAGATTTTGTCTGAAGAAAGCTTAACTTATTTAATGATAATACATGTAGGCTACATGTGTTTACACAAACATCCACAAGTTTCCTACACCCCATGAGGCCTTGCGTCAAAAGTGGGCGCGTCTTCCGGTTCGAAGTAAACAAAGCGCGACTTGACATGCTTGACACTCGTTCATTCAACAGTTGACAGTCATTCAAGTTATAGCGATCCAAACTAGCTAACGATGTGGGAAAACAACCTCAACAAAATTAAAAAGGGTGAAATAACAGTACCTTTACCCTCCGCAGTAGTTGGTTGCGAGTATTATAATAACATTATTAATAATCAATACTCATCAAGGCATGGTGACAGACAGTTGTGTGAGCTGACAAACAATTAAAATAAAAAATACACACTTAGTCATTGTGCTTTGGAGTTTATTCAAAATTATAAATGAATGTGCTACTTGAATACATTAACTGGCACATTTGGTATTCTGTCAACTCAGGCTTTGATCCTGAGTTTAGGTGTAACATCAGTAGCGAACAGCCAATCACATGTTGATAGAGTTTATAGAATATTAAGAATTTAAACAAATGTACACAGGAAGATTCGTCGTCTTTTGGGAGGTGATGGAAACTACAGTCGTTGGCAGGAACACTCTGATTTCGTTTTCGGCTTATGTTCAAAACCTCTATGTTCAAAACAATCACATTTAAGCCACTGAATTAGTTTAGTCCGGGTATACATACAACCGCGAACAGCACATGTTGTCCCTGAGCTCTGTAACGAAATCGGAAATAACTCTCCGAAAAACAGCTAGCCTCTTCGCTAACTAACACACAAAATACCATTGGAATGCTACTTCCGCCGCCTTACCGGAAGTTTCACCCACTTTATTTTTTACAGAAGCGCCCCTCGGACACTTGTGGATATAAAATCCTTTTAATTTCACTTAAGTAATAGTAAGTGAAATTAAAGGGGTAGTTCCCCAAATTTACAATTCTGTTAATAATTACAGAATTGTAAAAATAATAATTACAATTTCATCTTTTTGATGAAATCTGAAAGCTTTCTGTCCCTCCATTGACAGCTATGCAACTGACACTTTGAAGCTTCAAAAACTTCATAAAGAGACTGTAAAACTAATTCATATGAATTGAGCGGTTTAGTCCAAATTTTCTGAAGAGACACAATTGCTTAGTATGATGAACAGATTTAATTTAGTTCCCCTTCATTAATTTAGTTCTACTAGGTAAGTCAAGACTGACGAATGGGGCGTAATGATGAAATGTCGGTCGCTGCATCGGAGGGTGAGCTAATGTTCTCTGGGGATTAAGACTCGGCTGCGCTGCCTTCCTTCGGATTCAGACCCAGAGACCCAGAGCTCATGGCTATGCTTTCCCGGGCCGCTGCAAGAGTCAGGCTCGATTGGAACCCTCCACCGTGTCCCGAACCATCACGGTTAGACGATTTGTATCTCGGGGTGGCCCGTGCTGGTTCTCATCGTCCTGCCCAAGTGCCTTTTTTTCCAGAAGTGCATGAAGAGGTTACCAGAACATAAACGACACCTTTTACTGCCCGAAACTGGTGCCTCTTCCTCCCTCACTACCCTTGACGGTTGAGCAGCTAATGGTTATGTGGAGATCCCCGCGGTGGAGCCGTCTGTGGCGTTGCAGCTGTTTCCCAAGACCGCAACCTCCTGGCGGGGAAATTCACCTCACCCCTCCCGGGCTTGTAAGTTCTCATCCGCTCTCGCTCCTGCAGGTCTACCAGGCCAAGGCGCTAAAGGAATTGCACAAGAGCAGTTTCGACCCAGGGGTTAAACAGGAACAAAATACACTGCACGCTCCCTGGGTTGGGTGATGTCCACGTTAGTGGTCCAGGAGTGACACCTGTGGCTGAAGGCCAGGCCGGACTCTTCGGCGACACTGTGGAAAACTTTGCCCAGTAGTTAACCGCAGCACAGAAGCAGACGGAGGCGATTAAGCACATCCTTCCCCGACGGCCAGCTACTGCATCCACCCACATTTTTAATAAAAACCCACATTTTCAATAAAAGAGCAATTTCTTCCATCTCTGGGTCACAAAAGGGCGGGGATTGCAGTGAACAATGCTCCCATGCTCCCACACAACACACTCAGACTCTGCTTCGGGCCGTCTCAGTGCCTCCCAAGCCAAGTCTCTGAGTTCCACCTCACTGCACCTACCACCTCCCCACCTGTGCAGAAGATCTCTTATCTCGGTATGGAGTAGGATTTGGTCAACCAGTGCGTCTGGTCAATATTGAATGGCTTACAATCAAGTACAATCAAGAGCAGGACAGCGGCCCCAGTGAAACAGGCTCCTGGGGTCATGTGGCATCCGCAGCCGCAGTAACTTCGATCGGATTGCTTCATATACTGTCTTCAAGGCCCCCTAGATGGGAGTGGCAGAGTGGCACGTACCGGGTACACATCACCCTTCACTGCCTACAAACCTTCAGCCCGTGGTCGGACCCTTCGTTTCTACGGACAATGTTCCCATAGAACAAGTGTCGAGTTATGCTGTGGTCTTCACGGATACCTCTGCCACCGGCTGGGGGGCCAGTTGTTTTACTCCCTGACTGAGGGAACCTGGTATGCCCGGTATGAGGTATGCCTTTCCCCCAGTGAGCCTTCTCGCACAGACACTGTGCAAAGACTGGGAGGACGAGGAGAAGGTCTTGTTACTTGAGCCTTATTGGCCAAACCGGACCTGGTTCCCAGAACTCGAGGAGATGCTCCTCGCGACATCACCTCCTTGGCCCATAGAGTGCCGAAGAGATGACGTCACTTTGTAGAACAACTCAGAAGTTAGCGTCGCATGGGTTCCCTCGATCGAAAAAAGCTATGCATTTTCCCCATAGACTTTTGGAAAATCACAAAAAATAAGATGTGTTCAACAAAGAGTTGTGACCCTTACAAGTTTTGTCTATCAAGATAATCTTTACAAGTTAATCCAAAATGCATATAGGCTTTATACACCACAGAACTTATTTTAGGCGATTTAGCAAAAACTCAAAAAAAGAGCGAGGGAACCTGGAGTGCAAAAATGCTAACTCACTTCTGTGTTTTGGCCTACAAAGTGATGTGATAACTTCGGCACTCTATTCCTCTGAGGAAGGACCTGCTTCTCAGAGACGGGGAACTCTATGACACGTGCATCCAGACCTCTGGAAATGGTAAATGGTAAATGGACTGCATTTATATAGCGCCTTCATAGACCTAATGGCCACCAAAGCGCTTTACATTTTTGCCTCACATTCACCCATTCATACACTCATTCACACACCGACGGCGGTGTCAGCCATGCAAGGCGCCATCCAGCTCGTCGGGAGCAGCTGGGGTTAGGTGTCTTGCTCATGGACACCTCGACACTTGGTCAGGTGGAACCGAGGATTTAACCACCAACCATGGAAACTCCATGTCTAGTCCCTGGATGGGACACAGAGGTTCTAGGTGATCTACCCCCAGGTGGTAGACACCATCACTTCTGCTAGAGCCTCTACGCCTCGAAGTGGAATCTGTTCGTTGAAGACCCCCGAAGATGTCCGATCAGTCATGCTTTCTTTCCTGCAAGATGGGTTGGAGCGAAGGCTGTCTCCCTCCACCCTCAAAGTGTATGTTGCTTCTATCGCCGCACATCACGATGTAGAAGGTAATTCATAGGAAAAGCATGACCTGAGCGTCAAATTCTTGAGGGGAGCGAGGAGACTGAATCCACCTCACACCCCCTCTATACCCTCTTGGTACCTGTCTCTGGTGCTAAGCGCACTGCAGAGACCTCCCTTTGAACCACTGCAGTCAGCTGAGTTAAAGATCCTGTCACTAAAGACAGTGCTACTGACTGCTCTGGCTTTCATCAAGAGGGTAGGGGACCTTCAAACATTTTTGGTCGACGAATCGTGCTTGGAATTTGGCCAACTCTCAGATTGTCCTGAGACCCTGGCCTGGATACGTGCCCAAGGTTCCTACCTCTCCCTTCAGGGACTAGTTACTGAACCTGCAAGCGCTGCCTTTGGACGAGGTTTTCTATATCCCGTCCTCTCTTTGAGGTTATACGTGGACAGAACGCAAAGCTTTAGAGCCTCAGATCAGCTCTTTGTCTGTTACAGAGGCCAGCAGAAGGGAAAGGCTGTCTCCAAGCAGAGTTTGGCCAACTGGATAGTGGATGCCATTGCCTTGGCTTACGAAGCCCAAGGCGTGTCTTGCATGTTTCGGGTTGCGAGCACACTCAACTAGAAGTGTTGCTTCCTC